TTGTTACTAAAAATCATGAATTTAGTTTTATTCCAATTTATTGATAATTTATTGTATTTTAGCCATTCATTAATTTTAGACATCTCACTAGCCATTTGTTCCATAAGGGTTTTTTTTTTTTTAGATCATTTCCAGAACAAAATAAATTTTATCCTCTCTGCTCAGGAGAGGTGAAGTGAAGCAGCAGCAGGGCCACGAGCATCAAAGGTGCAGCGTGAAATAACGGGCAGCAGCAGCTGCCAGAGGACCGTTACATCTGAACAGGTGTGTTTAGTCAACAGGTAAACCAGTCACAGGTAGGCGACTGCATCTTTATTGCACCGGCAGGTACACTCCAGCTTAACTTAAGAGCAAGCATGAGGGACAACAAAMCCGTTCAGAAACCACAGCATTTAAAAGAGACTTCACAGCCAGGTGTGGAGGGAGCCGTTAGTTCAACCCGCCTCCCAGTCTCCAGGCTGTCGTCAGCGCCTCAGAAAACACTCGAAATGTTGTTTTAGCTGAAATAAAACGAACCACAGCGAAACAACACACACAGACACACACAGCATGTGTGCGAGGAGACAGCAAGCTCTGCCAGCAGCCGGTGCGCAGAGGAGAACGGCCAAACAAGAACCTTACACACACACACACGGCTCTGAAGCAAACCAGCGCCTCCCAATATCAACATAAACATGATGTTCGCGCGAGCTTTGGCGCTCGCTGATTCAAAACGAAAAGAAARAAAAAAAAGAAAAAAGTTTCTGCTGTGTTTCGGCGGTCCACCTCGGACCTGACGGGATCTCAGCGCCCCGGAGGCTTAAGCCGCCCGAGAACTGCGCGGCGCCACAATCAAACGCATCCGAACCGGGTAAATTTATCAGGATTTCAGGCTGCGCCTTACCTTCAGTTCCGCACTCTCCGCCATCTTCTGTTTCTGTGCGCAGGCGCGCTGAGGGGTTGTCACATGACTGGGACGCGCAAAGGGCCTCGTGAACGCGCATTTACTGAGTCCTGAGAATAGAATAGAATAGAATAGAATAGAATAGAATAGAATAGAATAGAATAGAATATGTATTGTTATTTCTGTTTTAAAGTGATAAAATAGAGAAAAATAATAAAAACATTCTAACAGAACAGGTAACATACTTAAATTCCATAATAACAGTAAAAAAAAAAGAAAAGAAAAGAAATTACAACACATTTGTACTAAAGTGACAAAAAAATCAGGATAAACCTGATTAAATTTAARTGTACAAAATCTGTAAAGTATGAACAAAGCCCGGGAAAAAAGGAGAGATACATACCAATATTAAATACCAGCAGGCAATGTTTTTGTCATGTGATTGAGAAAACAAACAATGAAAATGTAACAGTCATATTTTGCGCAGATTACAGATTAAATATTTCACTATAAATTACCACTGAAAAGGAGCATGTTGAATTTTAAGGAGCTGAATCATGTTTTACAAATGATCATGTTTTAAATCACATCTGTTTCAGTACAGCTGCTCCTGTTGGTATTCTGAGCAACATTAAACCTATTATTTTTTCCTCTCACTGAGTTATTGCTCAGATTATTTATGTTTTATAAAACCGAGGCATCAGTGTGAACTGTTATAAAGAAATTTCACACTGTTGTCTTCATACTGGTGTTTGTGATGCTGCAGGTTGAACTTGTAAAATTAACACATATTTGAGAGGTCATGAGACTGACGATGAGAAATAAAGTTTAATAATAAAGGCACATCTGTTTAAAGTCTGTTTTTTTTTTTTTTTTTGTGAGGCGCTGTATTACTCCATTAAGTTTAGTTTTCTAACCAATGTTAAAAGTTGTCAACAGCGCCACCACATGGTAGATTAGTAGAAGGACAGTGGACTAATTGAACWGGTATGAGAAAAACAAATCCATTAACTCTGTTAAAAATAATTAATCCATTAATCAAAAAACACAAGTCAGATTTGAGGTCTGCGGRCCAGATGTGATTCTTGTTACAGTTTTATCTGATCTGAGATAATATTTTAGGTAGATTAGAACTGYCACACCACTTTGTGACAAATTGAGTTTCTATATATTCTCAGTTTTCTCCTTTTTGTGAATAGAACAACAAAGAGTGACTAAATGGGACTGTTCAAATAAATAACAAGGTAATCAGAGCAACAAAGTCTGTTTTTTTTTCATTTTCTTTTTGATTTTCTGTTTGTCTTTTTTTTTTTCTTTTTTTGTGTATTTTCTTATTTTTAATTGTATTTTTTTATATCCACTGAAGGATACTTTAGATGACTTCATGGGAGTTGATAATTAATGAAGATTAAAAAAAATGAAGATAAACTTCTAATAAAAAGTAAGGTAGCTACAATGCATGTTATTGATGTGTCTTTTAAAGGTGCATCATTAGCATCCTTAAGGAGGAGACTCCAAGTCAGATCCAGAACTCATTGGAGGGATCATACGTTCTCTTTGGACCAGGAACGGGACCGGCTGTGGGATGCTCCAGGAGGAGCTGCAGAGTGGTGCTGCGGTTGATGTCTGGGTTTTATTCCTGGACCTGTTGCTTCTGTAACCCGAGCATGGATATGAGGCAGGAAATGGATGCAATTTCTATTTATTTTTCAATCAATAATAAAAACTAAACAATAATATTAAATGAATAATTTGACATATCAAAAATCAAGGTCAGTTGATATCTTTCATATATCAATAAATATGGACTGAGGCTGCTCATACAGTAGTGTTAAGATTTTTTTTCTTTATTTTGGCCACTCATGCAACTAAGTGACCCTCCTGCATTAACACCTTAATTTAGAAATTTACTAAAACCCTCAATAAGTTGGTAATAAGAATGCACAAACTATTATTCTCTAAATGCATTAGTTTACATTTCTTCAGTCAGTGGGTAAAAATATATTATTACTGATGAACAAATTGATTTTAAGATAAGATAGACCTTTGTTATCATTACAGAGCACAATGAAATTACAGTTCAGTTCAGTTTTGAAATAATTGGTCAAGTTTTAATGAGAACACAGTTAAATCACTTTTATTGCATAGTTAAGATAGTTATTTTTACAGTTTGCAATAAAAAAATAAAAATCATTGATTGCTTTAAATTCTCATGTTCCCAATCACAAAGCTCACAATAACAATTTAACTTTAAGCCATAAAGCAGCAAAAGATAAAACTGTTCTTTTCTTCAAAGTCTTTAATCGCAACTTTACTGTGTAAAAATAAATATTCCAGATTACAATGCCGTCAACAGAACCATTTAACCTGGTTTTATTCTCCAGTGTCAACAGCCAACACTTATCTGGTTTTCCATCTAAAAGAAATGTGGTGCCACGCCTCAAACACCCTGAACCAGAGCCAGCRGGGATTACAGGTCAGCAGAACTACTTGAACTCAGATCCTGGCTCAGTCACTTTTCATCGTGTCATTTTTCACCAGCGATGATTTAAATCTGTTGTTCCATCCAGCTTGTAATCAGACTGCAGTTAATCTGAAACATTTATTTTGGCTCCAAGAAAAGAACAAAGTTAATTGAGAAAAGACTTCTCTGCTTTTTTTCCAATAAATAAAACTGACACACACACACACACACACACACACACACACACACACACACACACACACACACACACACAC